CCCCCCCATGTAGGCTCCACAGGGAAGATATATGAAGACTACCAGCACAGGGCAGAGGCAGAGATGTGAATGTGAGTGCGCTGCTATTTTCCACTATTTGGTCTACTATACACGAGTTTTCTGCAGATCATCAAAGAAGATCTCTGGCCAAATCCTTTACAATATTACCTAATCGGGGACGGTGAAAGCGATGACCATGCAGCGGAGGACAGGTCAGGTTTCACCCTGTTTTGTCTTTTTTCACCCGTGTATTTTGTTGCGGAGGTAACGGGCTCTCTGTGTGGTTTTAACAGTGACCCGGACAACACAGATGACTGTGTGGTCATAGTGGATGATGATGATGACGATGACGACAATGAGGATGATGAAGCGGAGGACGACGAGGGCGATGAAGAAGATGAAAATGAAGTGCATGAAATTTCCGACAACACCGAAAAGCAAGCCGAAGGTAAATTTTTAGAAGATGTTCGGTTAAGAAAAAGGACTCGCTCCAAGTAAACTTTTCATGGAATAGTTAAAGGAGAACTATGAGGCGAGTGAAAATCACTCATCCTCATAGTTGGAGCCGACGTGTGACAATGAAACTGTCACAGGTCGGCTCAATAGATCGGGGAGTGAGGTAACGCATACCGTCGCTCGCTGACTACTCGATCTATCCCGGCAGAGAGCCGTGACTGTCACTCACGGCTCCCTGCAGGGATTCCCCCCTCCACTGTCTGATCCTCCAGCGCTGACTGGCGGAATGGACGGGGGAGGGGGCGGGTACAGCTGGCTCTGCCTCTAGATAGGCATAGCCAGCTGTCAATCGCGCAGCTGGGTGGATCTTGACAGTAATGTCGGGATCCGTCCCAGCTGCGACGGTCTCGGTATACCGCGAGCTGTAGCTCTCTATATACTGAGCTTTGGGTGACGGGAGGACGCTAGTGTGTGTCCTCCCTTGACCTGGGGAGAGCTATGGGGGAAAAGCCCTAACCACATAGTTCTCCTTTAAGAAAGCTTGCATTGCTGACCACCTATTAAAAATTCTAGTTGTGCTTTTTTTCTTTTTTTTTTTGCTACCCTATAACGGGAAGTGCCTGAACAAGGAGCTTCATGGCAGGATCACCGGGGATTATTTTAAGAGAACTATGGTGTAACCTTTTTATCCCATAGTTTTTTTTCAGGGTCACGGGAGGACATATACTAACGTCCTCCCGTGACCCAAAGCTCAGTATATAGCGAGCTACAGCCCGCTATTTACTGAGAGCGCCGCAGCCGGGACGGATCCTGACAATACTGTCGAGATCCACCCAGCTGGCTGTGCCCGCCCCCTCCCCTGTCCGTTCCTCCGGTCAGCACTGGAGGATCGGAGGGGAGGGGGGGAATCATTGCAGGGTGCGGTGACTGACGGTCACAGCTCTCTGCAGGAAGATGATCCGAAAGTGAGCGATGGACGGTATGTGTTCGATCACTTCCCAATCAATAGAGACGACATGACAGTTTTAGGCCCCATTCACACTGCCGCGCATATACGCGCGCATACTGGCGTATTGTACCATATGCAACACATGCAAATACATGGCTCCATACACATAGCCGCGTATGGAGCCGTATATATGCGCAAAAACAAAATGGAACAGAGATGCGTCCGGGCAGCGTATTGCTGCGTATTTACGCGCACATACACGTGTACACGCGCATATACATGCCTGCAGCACATTAAAAATTCCATTACGAGTGATGCATTCTGGGATTGCATATAGTGCACGCATATACGCACGTATATGCGTATAAATACGCGTATATACGCACGTACATGCGCGCATATATGCAATATACAATTTTGCTCTTGCGTTGTGTGTGAATGAGGCCTTAATGTCACACGTCGGCTCCAACTATGAGGACGAGTGTAAATCACTCACCTCATAGTTCTCCTTTTAATGAAAGCTGCAGATTTTAAAATATTGAGACACATTTTTCTGGGTGCTAATTTTGCACTTCTCTTCAAGCTTATCTTCTTACACATATCTTTAAAATAACAGCAAAGGCACCTTTTTAGAAGTGTTTTAGTGATGACAATCTACAGACAGATACTTCTAGATAATTGCCGGCTTATTATTCTTTGCACACCTTATTTTTCTTTTCCTCCCCATTCTTCTTACAGCGGCTATTTTTACTAAGGGCAGGTTATAGATCTCCCTTTACTTCCTGGAACTCTGGCACATGTGACTAGGACATGTGACCATGTACTTCATCTCAGGGAAGGACAATGCCTTTTTCCCTGAGATCTCATGAGATTACAGATGAGATTTCCCAGCAATGCTCTGCCGATGTCACCTTCCCAGGATGCAACGCTTGGGCATGTTTAAATCACTTGTGCCAAAGTGGATCAGGAAGTAGAAGAAAATAAATTTGTAAGTATAATAAAACAATAATTTAATGAATGTAAGATGATTTCATGTCAGCATGCCGGAGTGGTCTGATGTGATGTGATTTTTAGTGAAAGGGGGTCAAAGTCCACTTTGTGTGGTGCAGCAATGGGGGTTATTCACAAAAGGGTGAAGAGTTTGGAGAAGGCCGGAGAAGTGAACCATCTAGGACAACAGAGCTGAACAGGAAAGTGAGCTGAATTGGAGAATGTTTCCAAATCGGCTATTTTGGCCTAGGATGTTCACTTCTTCGGTCTTCTCCAAACTCTTCACCCTTTTGTGAATAACCCCCAAATTGTACTTAAAGGAGAACTATGAGTCGAGTGATTTCCTCTCATCCTCATAGTTCAAGCCGACCTGTGACAATGAAACTGTCGCACGTCGGCTCAATAGATCGGGAAGTGAGCGAACACATACCGGTGCTCGCTCACTTCTCGATCCTGTCCCTGCAGAGAGCCTGTCACTCACGGCTCCCTACAGGGATCCCCCGCTCCGATCCTCCAGCGCTGACTGGCGGAACGTATGGGGGAGGGTACAGCTGGCTCTGCCTCTAGATAGGCACAGCCAGCTGTCAATCACGCAGCTGGGCAGATCCCGGCAGTAATGTCGGGATCCGTCCCGGCTGCGGTGGTCTCAGTATACCGCGAGCTGTAGCTCCCTATATACTGAGCTTAGGGTGACTGGAGGACGCTAGTTTGTATCCTCCCGTCACCCTAAGGAGAACTATGGGGGAAAACACTTACCCCATAATTCTCCTTTTAAGCTTCTTGCCCCTTTCCCCTCCCCTAACCCACCCTCCCTCCTCCACAGATGCATACTTACCTTGATCCAACGGTTTAGACGTCTGGTGTTTGTTTACATTCAGTGCTGCAAGTCTTTACTGTTCTTGCCGGCCCAATTGACTTCTCTGGGACTGTCCCCGATTGTCTCTGGGCCTTGGAATACAGCCCTGTAAAAGGCTGTAGGGCACTAATGCACAGACATGGCCAGTTCAGTAAAGACTTATCGGCTCCAGACAATCGGAGACGTTTCCAGAGAAGTCCATGTAGCTGCACCGTGCAGTTGCGGCAGGGACAGTGATGGGTGTAAACGTACACCGGAGTCCGTAGCCATTGGATGGAGCCAAGTATTCATTCGCGGAGGGAGAGGGTGTGTTAGGTTGGATCAGGGGAAGGGGCTAAAGGATTAGTGCACTTGCCCTTTAATTCTGCTAGTTATCCTTTAACGCTCAACTGTTACTTTGACCTCCGATTTCTGCCCTCTTCAGGTACCGAAAATGATGATGAGGAGGATGAGGAAGTAGAGGAAGAGTCTGTACCTGAAGACATGGTGGAGTCCACCATGGAAGAAGAGTCCGAAAACATTGTGGTGGATGAAGACTCTGCAGAGGAGGAGGAGGAGGAGTCGTCGGCTTCGTCATCGTCTTCAGAAGAAGGAGACTCTGAGTAGGAGAAAGATGACGACATCTAGCGGATATTAGGAGGTGCAGGGAAGGCCGCATCACCCCCCCCCCCCTTTCCCCCCAACTAGAAGGCGAGGTGCACTGCAGGGAGAGAAAGGTGTTCTGGAAACGCAGTGAGTGCAACTGTCATAGGAATATAGAACCGTGATGGGGCTTCCTTCTCCCAGCTCCACATCCAGTCAGGGACAGCCCCGATGTTAAGCTTTTTCTAGATCATAGAGTCTTTTGATTCTACCCATTGCAGGCTCCCATAGAATTTGCACTGCAACGTAGGCACACAGGAGCCAAGACTTAACGACTTTTTGATTTTAATTTAAAAAAACAAAACAAAAAAAGGAAAAAAACATTTTTATTCATGAAGAGCTTTTTTTTTTAGCTAGTTATATACGTGCTGGTTTTTTTTTCTTTTTTATTCTGGTGTTGGTGTTTCTTCATTTTTGTGTTTATTTTTTTTTTTTAGTTGCAAAGAAACAATACGTTCGCAGATACGTTACGGAGGAATTTCTTTGTAATGCTTCACGACTACATTGAGAAAAATGAACGACTACAGGGTTTGTCTTTGTAATCATTTTGGGTCCCCCTCCAGATACATCATAAAGCATTCCAGTTTTAGCTTACCGTTACTTTCTACAGCTGGTCATAAGATGCCAGTGGGTGCGCTGGTGCCGCATCACTGGCAAAAAAATCAGGCTGTGCAGTGAATGCGACGCAACCGTCACTGGGCCCTAGGGGCCGTTTGCATTTTGACGTTCCTTGTACATATGGGCTTCAGCTCCAATAAGGGTAGTGTGTACAGCAAGCTTTGCAAAGCATTTTCATACAAGCTTCCAGCAGCTTTCTACCCTTTTTCCCCCGAAAGTAAGACCTACCCCAAAAATAAGACCTAGTACTATTTTTGGGAATTGCTAAAATATAAGACCTACCCCGAAAATAAGATCTAATTGTGACCATTTCCAGGGCCGGTGGTGGCATAAGGGGGGAACTTGAAGAGCCACAGGAGAGAATCAGCGGTGCCAACGAAGCCGGCGCTAGAGGAAGCGAGGCGGCACCGGAGGGAGCAGAGCCACATAAGGCGATGCCTCCTCTATAGCCCCGCCTCCTGTCACAGGCGGAGTGATACCAAATGCACTCCGCCTGTGAGGAATCCATAGTGAAAGCTTCGCTCATCCTGGCCAGCGATTGGTTAGCAAATTGCCCTTGGAAAGGTACAGCACCCCTGATTGCCCCGATCACCATATTTTTGTACATGAATAAGTGCGGATTGTTGTACATTAAAAAAAAAAATTAAGACCTACCCTGAAAATAAGACCTAGTGTGTTTTTTTGTTTTTTTTTACCCCCAAAAAATATAAGACTGTCTTATTTTCGGGGGAAACGCGGTAGAAGCCATTTGAGCAGTCTTCAGTTCCAGTTTGGAGTTTTTAAAGGGCAAGTT